TCTATTTCCAGCTTTTTAAGAAATCTCCACACTGTTTTCCATAGTGGCTGTACTAATTTGCATTCCCACCAACAGTGTAAGAGGGTTCCCTTTTCTCCACACCCTCTCCAGCATTTATTGCTTGTAGACTTTTGGATAGCAGCCATCCTGACTGGCGTGTAATGGTACCTCATTGTGGTTTTGATTTGCATTTCTCTGATAATGAGTCATGTTGAGCATCTTTTCATGTGTTTTTGTGCCATCTGTATGTCTTCCTTGGAGAAATGTCTGTTTAGTTCTTTGGCCCATTTTTTGATTGGGTCATTTATTTTTCTGGAGTTGCCAGCTCCTTTATTTAAAGACCCACATGGTTACACTGGACCCACCCAGACAGTCCAGGGTCATCTCCCCAACTCAAGATCCTTCATTTCATCACACCTGCAAAGTCCTTTTTGCCAAGTAAGTTAACAGGTCCACAGTTTCCAGGAATCAGGACATCTCAGAAGGGTCCATTCTGAGCATTACTGTAGCATTACTCTGTAGCATTACTCTGACTGCACAGGAGGATAAATGGGAAATTAGAAACTGACTAGCCCCCAGAACAGTGTCAGAGAAGGAGGGGCATATGGAAGCTCCATCAGCACACTCTCTCTGAACCTCATTCTCACCTCCACAGAGCCCAGTTCTAGGGGTTCAGATTATACACCTTTTAAGCCTTCCCTATAAAGAAAGCTGAGTGCCGAAGAATTGATGCTGTTGAACTGGAGTGTTGGGGGAGACTCTTGAGAGTCCCTGGGACTGCAAGGAGATCCAACCAGGCCATCCTAAAGGAAATCAGTCCTGGGTGTTCATTGGAAGGACTGATGCTGAAGCTGAAACGTCAATACTTCAGCCACCTGATGCGAAGAACTGACTCACTAGAAAAGACCCTGATGCTGGGAAAGATTGAGGGCATGAAGAGAAGGGGATGACAGAGGATGAAAGAGATGGTTGGATGGCATCACCGACTCGATGGGCATTAGTTTGAGTAAGCTCCAGGAGTTGGTGATGGACAGAGAAACCTGGCGTGCTACAGTCCATGGGGTTGCAAAGAGTTGGACACAACTGAGCAACTCAACTGAACTGAAGTCCTCCCTTAAATTATTCACTAGTTCATTTTTTTAATGTAAAATACAGAAAACTTGATGTTTTTTCATTAAATGTGCAATCCTATAAATGCTATCTCACATACAAATTTGTATAACCACCACCACAATCAGGACACAGAAAGAGTCATGATTTTACCTTTTAGAGGATTCTTTTGTGTGTGCTTGTGTGTGGAGTCATGTCCAACTCTTCACGACTCTATGGACTGCAGCCCACCGGGCTCCTCTGTCCGTGGGATTTTCCAGGCAACAAAGCCACAGGAAAAAAAAAAATTTAAATAAATAATTTAAAATAAAACAGAAAAGGAGAAGCGCAGGGCAGGAGTTCCAATGCCAAATGCTGTGAGTTCCAGGACGAGAACAGAGGAAATAGTGGGGACAGGAAAAATCCAGTAAAATATCCTGGAACCAGAGGACAGGCATTACTCAATAATTAGACAGCCAAGATCCATGCAGTGGGTAGAAATAGACCCAAACAATAAATATCATCATTAAAATTCAGATTACAAAGGGACAAGGGAAGGTAGCTGAAAGCTGGCGGGAAAAAAATACGGAATTTTCATCTAAAAGTACAACAATCATAATGGTATCAGACACAGGATCATCAGCACGGGAAACCCAAGCACCGCGGAGCTGCCTTGCGCCTTGTGGCTGACTTCGGTGTGGTATGGAGACTTGGCTTAGGTCTAGGAGCCTGGTGGGCTGCGGCCCACGGGGTCGCGAAGAGTCGGACACGGCTGAGCGACTTCACTTTCACTTTTCACTTTCATGCGCTGGAGAAGGAAGTGGCAACCCACTCCAGTGTTCTCGCCTGGAGAGTCCCGGGGACGGGCGAGCCTGGGGGGCTGCCGTCTGTGGGGTCGCACGGGGTCGGACGCAACTGAGCGGCTCAGCAGCTTGGGCCCCCCTGGCGGCTCGGATAGCAGAGAATCCGCCTGCAATGCCAGAGACCTGGGTTTGACCCCTGGGTGGGGAAGATGCCCTGGAGACGGGAATGGCTACCCACTCCAGTGTTCTTGCCTGGAGAATGCCATGGACAGAGGAGCCTGGCGGGCTACAGTCCGTAATATCACAAAGAGCTGGACACGACTGAAACGACTTAGCGCTCACACGTGGACAGTTAACAGTTGGCAGAGTTCAGTGCTAATGCATTAACAGTATATAAGCTGTCTTTCGATAGAAACACATACACAAAGGTTATGTGTCGATGTGTTGATGAAAATATCATGGCTAGGGGCTCAAAGGAACCCGACTCTGCGTTTCCCCTGGAAGCAGGGGTTTGGTAGTCACGAATTTGGTGGTCATGGTGACTGCAGGACACACCACCTCCTGCAACAAGAATCAGAATTATAACTTAGAATGTTCCTGTTGTTTTTGTTTATAATACAGATAATGACTGTTTTCTGTCCGTGTGCAGTCCTGTGAGTTTACTTATTCGTTGTCGGCTGTGCTGGGTCTGCGTCGCTTGGCGTTGCTGTCCGCACTCGCAGGAGCGACTCTGCTGAGTGCAGGCTCCTCACCGCAGCGGCCTTTCTCGTTGTGGGGCACAGGCCCTAGAGTCAGGAGCGGCGCTCACAGGCCCTGGAGTCAGGAGCGGCGCTCACAGGCCCTGGAGTCAGGAGTGGGGCTCACAGGCCCTGGAGTCAGGAGTGGGGCTCACAGGCCCTGGAGTCAGGAGCGGCGCTCACAGGCCCTGGAGTCAGGAGGGGCGCTCACAGGGCCTGGAGTCAGGAGTGGGGCTCACAGGCCCTGGAGTCAGGAGGGGCGCTCACAGGCCCTGGAGTCAGGAGCGGGGCTCACAGGCCCTGGAGTCAGGAGCGGGGCTCACAGGCCCTGGAGTCAGGAGGGGCGCTCACAGGCCCTGGAGTCAGGAGCGGGGCTCACAGGCCCTGGAGTCAGGAGTGGGGCTCACAGGCCCTGGAGTCAGGAGGGGCGCTCACAGGGCCTGGAGTCAGGAGGGGCGCTCACAGGGCCTGGAGTCAGGAGCGGGGCTCACAGGCCCTGGAGTCAGGAGCGGCAGCTCACAGGCCCTGGAGTCAGGAGGGGCGCTCACAGGCCCTGGAGTCAGGAGGGGCGCTCACAGGCCCTGGAGTCAGGAGGGGCGCTCACAGGCCCTGGAGTCAGGAGGGGCGCTCACAGGCCCTGGAGTCAGGAGCGGCGCTCACAGGCCCTGGAGTCAGGAGCGGCGCTCACAGGCCCTGGAGTCAGGAGTGGGGCTCACAGGCCCTGGAGTCAGGAGGGGCGCTCACAGGCCCTGGAGTCAGGAGCGGGGCTCACAGGCCCTGGAGTCAGGAGTGGGGCGCTCACAGGCCCTGGAGTCAGGAGCGGGGCTCACAGGCCCTGGAGTCAGGAGCGGGGCTCATTGCCCTGTGGCATGCGGGATCTTCCCGGACCAGGGATCAAACCCATCTGCCCTGCCGTGGCAGACAGATTCTTGGCCCCTGCACCACCAGGAAAGTCCAGGCCTATGAATTTTAACACATGTATAGACTTCAGTGACCAGCGCCACAATCAGGACACCGAAGATTTCCATCCCCCTCTAAGTCTCCCTGGTGTTGCCCGTTTGTACTCACAGCTTCCCCTCACTCTTAAACCCTGGCACTCACTGATCTGTTCTTCATCACTGTCATTTTGTCTTTTAGAGAGTGTCATATAAATGGACTCCTACAACATGTAACATTTTGAGACTGGCTTCCCTCACTCACTCAACCTAGTGTCTTTGGGATTCACCCAAGTCTTTTTTTTTTTCCCATTTAATATGTATTTACTTATTTGGTCGCACTGGTTCTTAGTTGTGGCCCACAGGATCTTTAGTTTGGGTGTACAGACTCTTAGTTGCGGCATGTGGGATCTAGTTCCCTGACCAGGCATGGGACTCACACCCTCTGCGTTGGGAGTGGAGAGCCTTAGCCACTGGGCCAACAGGGAAGTCCCCAAAACTCCCCCCAGTTTTCATACGTATCCATCATTTGCTCCTTTTCCCTGCTGAGTCATAGTCTGCCCAGCCTAGAATTTTAAACTCAAATCAATAAAGTAGGAGGATACACAGATCTTAAAATGTACTTTCCTTCTACCTTGTCATAGGAATCTACTATACCAAAAAAAAGTGGAAGGTGGGGAACAAACCAGAGGGAGAAGCGTAAGAAAGCCCGGGGATGGTGTGAAGACGTCTTCAGACAGCCGCTCCTCAGCGGCTCCAGTCTGCACTGAAGAACTTCTTCAGAGGCTAAAATCAACAGGGCTTGTCAGCGTTCCAATTCACTGAGGAGAGACTTGCACAACTGGTGGTAATTCTTTCAGATGAATTAATACACAGATAAGTAAGTAGACAGACAGAAAAGGAAAACTTTTAACTCTAATGAAAACAAAAGGTTGTGCAGAACAGCAAAGGTAATCAGAATATCCTACGGTGCAACAACGACCGCTACATATTTGTCTAAACATAATTACACCACAATTCCTTTGGGGTCTGGGAAATAGGAGTGGGGAGATAACTCTCATTGATAACAAGCCTTGCAGAATTATCTAGCTCTTTGATATATGTGCCTTAATAACACAGATTTTAAAAACTAAACTTAAAATGTTAGCTTGATGAAATAAATTTTTCCCTAAATCAGACCAGAGAGCGAGAGAGAGAGCCATTCCTGATAACACCATCCTTGAAGCGGAAGTCATTCGTTCCCTTCTTTGTTTAAAGCCAGTTCAAATTTGGATTTCTCTCTTTAACAACCAAGAGAAAACGGACAAATACCAGAGCCATGGACCCTCCGCACCAGGAAGCACCGTGTCTTCACTCTGGTCCTCCGCTGAGCAGCCCGGACGGTGCGGGATGTGCTGAGTGTGGTCAGGAAGGTGCTGCCCAGCTGGACATCCACATCAGCTGCAGAGCTCGCGGCTACGGGCAGTGGCCAGGGCGTCCTGGATGCTGGCAGAGCTCGCGTCCCTGATGCCCAGGAACACCGTGCCCTGGCCGAGCAGCGTGGGGTTGATGGGGGTCTGGCCAGAACTACTGGCGGGTCCGTTTCCAGGTATGCAGCGGTCCTGACCTGCCTTTCTATAAGCTGGGTGCTTCACGTCATCCTCAGCTGTGACCTTTTAGTGGGTGCAGACCACCTGTAGGGCATTGCTTGAACCACACCTCTGTGTTCTGCCGGTGGGAGTTCATCATGATTGTAAAATATGATATTTTACCTCTAAGTCTGACTGGACTTGAAAGCCATTTGTACTACCGCAAGAAATTCCAGCATTTACCAATGACAGGAAAGGATATGTATGCTGGCTGCCTTTTTAAAAAATGTTATTATTGGAAATTTCTGAGAGTTTGTTATAAAAATAGTATGTTAAGTTTGTTATAAAAATAGTATGTTTTTACACAGCTTCCTTGTGTTAACAAAGGTTTTCATGAAATGGCTCTTCTCCTATATGTAACATAGTGCTAAGAACTGAACTGAACTGAACTGAAGTTGCTTCAGTCGTGTCCAACTATTTGCGACCCCGTGGACTATAGCCTGCAGGGCTCCTCTGTCCATGGAATTTTCCAAGCAAGAGTACCAGAGTGGATTGCCATTTCCTCCTTCAGGGAATCTTCCCAACCCAGGGATCAAAGCTGCATCTCCTGTATTGGCAGGCAGGTTCTTTACCACAAGGGCCAAAAGAGAAGTGACCATATGTAACACGTGGTTGTTCAGTCGCCCAGTCGTGTCCGACTCTTTCTGACCCCATGGACTGCAGCACACCACGCCCCCCTGCCCCTCACCCTCTCCTGGAGTTTGCCCAAGTTCATGTCCATTTCATCAGTGATGCCACCCAGCCATCTCATCCTTTTTAATGAGGATCACATAACATGATCCTCATTAAAAAGACTGAAACAGGAATTGCATGGAGCCACTTAAAGCATAAAATCTGATACACAAACTTTATGGATGCAAACTCAAGTTTCTCATGTAAAAAACCTGATATTTTCTAACAAAAAGTTTTGTAAAATTGTAATAATTATTTTCTGAAACTTTCCATTTTATTTTCTATATTCTAAGGAAATAACATGGAGAAATAGGATTGATTTTCTTTCCCCAGCCTGCATAACAGTGCCTCAAAATTTCTACCATTCGACCCCAGTGTGATAATAACTAATTTGAATGATCATGTACCCTGTTGTGAAAAAAGTTGGAGGGAACTGGCTGAAATTATTAGGACATCTATTATTACAATTAATGAGAAGTCAGGAGGTAGGCAATCTCAGAGTAGGTTCGATGGCTCAGTAACATCAGCAAAAAAACCCAGGCTCTTTATGTTTGTTCCCCACCTGCCTCAGCACCCCCCAGCTCCCACTGCCAAGCCTGGTGTCCACGGGTGGCTGTCAGGGCTCCGGAACCCAGGTCCGCCCCTGACAACACCCATAGAAGATGGGGATGAGGAGGGAAGCTGCGGATGAGGCACGGAGGAGCTTTCTTCTCACATGCCTCTTTCAGTTCAGGATGAAAAGTCTTTCTCAGAAGGTTCCAGATTTCCTCTACCTCTTACTAAGCAGAACTTGGTCACATGTTGCAGTGTCTGTGTGTGTGTGTATTTTAAGACACAAGCAATTCTCCAATACCAGCTGGGTGCCCTGCTCGATTCTACAGGTAGGTAGTCTCAGATCCCACAAGTCAAGGGTTCAGTCCTGCAAGACGGCCTCCCCCTCTGCTTCAGAAGCCAATGACAGACCCATGTTGACACGAGCTTCTGACAACAGCTGGGGACCTGAGCGTCCCAAGACACACCCCCCACCTTGAGTTCAGTTAACCTGCTAGAGCCACTCACAGAACTCAAAGAAGCATTTTACTTATTTCTTACCAGTTTATTGTAAACGGACACAACCTGGGAACAGCCGGGTGGAACAAGTGCACGGCGTGAGTATGTAGGAAGGGGCCCAGAGCTTCCTGCTCCCCTGAATTCACGGCCAGATGTTCACCAGCCCGGACGCTGTCTGCAGCCTGTCCTTTTGGGTTTTCAAGGAGGCTCCCTCACCCTGGCAGTGTTGATTAAATCCCCGGCCATTGGTGGTAAAACCAATCTCCAGCCCCTGTCTCCTCCCTGGAAGGTGGGGGAGAAGGGCAAGGAGAGACTGACGTTCCAACCAGGGCTAAACACAGCTGGGTTTCCCTGGCAACCAGCACCCTGCTTAGGTGACTGGGGCCTTCCAAAAGTCACCTCATTAACATAACAAAAGACAGTTTCATCACCGTCATCTCCGAGGAAACTCCAAGGGGTTTTAGGAGCTTCACGCCAAGAAAGGTGGAAAACCAGGCACATGTGTCTCATTATCAATCACAGCATCACACATGTCCACTGTGGACTTGTCACTAGTGAAAGGAAACGAGTCTTTTCACGTATAGCTTAGACTGAGGCTGGGCACCCAGACCAAAGCTGGTCTTGGCCACTGTAACCAGCCCAGGAGCTCCAGCAAACCCATTTCTGTCCATCTGCTGATAGGATTGCGGTGACCTGTGCCTGAGGCATAACTGAGAAAGACTCCGTGTAAGAGGCTGGCAGCCAGAGGCATCCTGGCTGAGAACGGCCAACAACCCACCAGCACAAAACGCTCCCGGGTGCCTCAGCTGGTAAAGGATCCGCCTGCAATGCAGGAGACCCTGCTTAGATCCCTGGGTCGGGAAGATCCCCTGGAGAAGGGATAGGCTACCCACACCAGTATTCTTGGGCCTCCCTGGTGCCTCAGATGGTAAAGAATCTCCCTGCAATGCAGGAGACCTGTCTTCAACCCCTAGGTTGGGAAGGTCCCCTGGAGGAGGGCATGGCAACCCTCTCCAGTATTCTGGCCTGAGAATCCCCATGGACAGAGAAGCCTGGCGGGCTGCAGTCCATGGACTTGCAAAGAGTCGGACGTGACTGAGCAACTAAGCACGTAAGTGCTAGGATACGGCCACGCAGAGGGACCTGCAGGAGGAGGCTCCTAAATCAACCGAGATTTTAAAAGAGGTTCCGTAGAAGAGGACCTTGAGCTCAAATCAAAGGAGGCATGATCCTGATAAAGTGAGAAACAGAATTTCAGAGGGGAAACAGACAGAATGTATACAGTAGGGAAGCTTGGAGGAGCTTCAGATAATTCAGGATCATAGGAGATGTTGTCTCGGTCTGGATCACATGACCATTTTGGTTGACAACTGGGCTGGGGAGAGGGGGTGGCTGTGATTTCCTTTATGTGGAGTTAGGGCAATCATTCTCAAGGGAAGTCACAGAAAGAAATAGTCCTGTTTTCAGAAGTAAAAAAGAGATTCTAGGAAGACCAAAACAATAGCTCCTCCATCCATAGCATTCTCCAGGCAAGAATACTGGAGTGATTTGCTATTTCCTCCTCCAGGGGAGCTTCTCAACCCCGAGATCAAACCCAGGTCTCCTGCATTGCAGGTAAATTCTCTACCACCTGAGCCACGGGGGAAGCCCCTAAACAACAATAGACTGAACTAAACCCTAGGTGCCCCAGTCTCCTGGGTGATACACCATCTGAGAAAGAGCAGAATCCTTTCTGTGGCAGACAAGCTACTTGTACATCAAAAATACACCTCCTCCAATCTAGAGGGTCCTCATTTCTTTAAAGGAGACCCCCTTCCATGGACGGGAACACCCATCTTAGACTGCAGAGAATGAGAAATTAGTTTCTATGACTTTGAACCCTTGTATCTTGGAGACTATTGATTTCAACCACACATGTGGCCCTAACTAAAATATTAATACTTCCTGGGACATCTTAATGAAAATCTGGGTTATCAGTAAAATTGTGATATGACTACCTTCTGAATTGGCTGTGATCTTGGATGGGTAAAAAGCATTTAAAATTAATAAACATTTCAAGTTTTTTTTTGGGGGGGTAACTCAAAAAGAATATGCCATTGTCACTGGGGAGAAGGTAATAAAAGAATTCTACTGTTCTCGCAACTTTTTGTGAATCTTAAACGATTCCAAAATTAAAAGATATTTTAAAAGATATTCAAAAAGGTAAAAAAAAAAATGTTTTCAAATTTCCACCAACAGTTTTGGATTCCTACAAGGGAAGCGTCTCAGTTTTGCATTCTGTAAAATGAGGGTTTTTGTTGTTAAGTCCCGAAGTCATGTCTGACTTTTGCAATCCAGTAGACTATAGTCCACCAGGCTCCTCTGTCCATGGGATTTCCCAGGTCAGAATACTGGAATGGGTTGCCATTTCCTCCTCCAGGGGATCTTCCTGACCCAAGGATCAAACTCGCAGCCCCTGCAATGCATGTGGATTCTTTACCACTAAGCCACCTGGGAAGCCCAAAATGAGGATTAGCTCAGTGGTTTTCAAACCATACCATCACTTAGGGTTTCAAGATCTTAGCAAATAACCGATTGGAATTTTCTGTCACATACTAAAACCATTTGAAAACACACAAGCTAAAGTATTACCTGCTAATTTTTAACACACTGGGGACCCCAGCAAGCTGAGAGCTAACCCCAGCAGGTTAGCTCTTCGACAGTCACATTTTGAGACAAAGTGTCTCCCTTGCCATTGATGCATTATGTCTGAACCTCTCTGAACTCATAATTATACAGATTGTAGCTGCATTATTCTGTTTTGTTGGAGACAGGTGTTGAGTTTGCCTTCCTTTGATTAAATTCAGAAGTATATCATAATTAGAGAAATGCAAATTAAATCTTCAACACAGCATTTTTTTTACCCACCAGACTGACAGAGATCAGAAACCTGATTACTGTGTGAGTTAGAATGTAGGAAAGAGATGCCCTAACAAGTTATCGATGGGCATTCTAAGTGCCATTGGAAAGCATCAAAATTTGAAAGGCAGAGTTGTCCCTGGTGGTCCAGTGGTTAAGAGTTCCCCTTCCAATGTAGGGGATGTGGCAACAATCTCTGGTCGGGGAGAAGAGATCATACATGCCTCCAAGCCAAAAAAAAACGAAACATAAAAGAGAGACAGTATTGTGACAAATTCAATAAAGACTTTAATAATGGTTCATATCCCCCCAAAAAACAACCCCACTAAATGCCCATACCCATTGCCTTAGCAATTCTATTTTAGGAAAGTATGCTACAGATATATACTCTCCCCTATACAGGC